AATTATTAGGGAGATTAACCTAAATTGGGGTTTCCCTTCACTGAGCTGACATTCTGACCGCGCGTTGCGACACGGCAAATTTAAATTTATATAAATTCCTCAACTAACCTCTACTAACTAGTAGTAGTGGCGAGTAAGGGCCGATCCCATGAAGAGTAGGAATTAAATTGTAATAATTTTGTATTAATTGAACTAAAACTATGAAAACAATAAATGGGGGGATTGATTTTAATAGAAAATAAAAATAAAAATAATATAATAAAATGAGAGAAGTCTAGTTTTCGGTTCAGTTATCACCCAATCCTATCTACCGTTAATTAATTTCGACGCTTTCTTTAAATTGTTAATGAATTACCGACCCTAGCTAACAACAAGCTCTGTTAACCGAATTTTCCCTAACCGAATATTTAATCAAAATAAGCTCTTCGACTAAACCTAACTAGTGGAAAACCTAGAATAAGCTCTCTAGATTTAATGCACTAGCAGCATTAATTTCTAGGAAAATAGATCAGTCTAAGCAACGGACACAAAAGCTCGGACCATTTAACTTATGTTCATGCTACCCTAGAGATGCACGACCCCTAGTTTACTACTAACGAAACGAGATAATAACAATTATGGATTAAAGTCAGAATCTAGCAATTAAACTATGAACATTCAACGTAGCTGGCCAAACTAAATCAAATACTCATAATTCATAAACATTAAACACAGATAGCATGAATCAACTCATCAACAAAAATAAATACGGCGTCTCGATTAATCAACGATAAATATAAATCATTCAATCCATAGACAAATTGAAATTAGGGTTCAAACATCCCCTCAAACTGGATAACAATACTAGCCTAACATACTAATAAAAATAAATACTAGATAAAAGAAAGAAGATAAAAATATCTCCCTCGTGTACGGGTGCGGCTTCCCTCCGCGTAGTGTTCATTTTTCCTTCTGGCGTGCGGCTTTTCGTTCTTCCTGCGGCTCTCTGTTTTCTTTTCTTCCCGTAAAAATAATGTCTCTCCCGCCTATGCGTGGCGTGAATCTCTCTTGTTCCAATAATCCTCTCGTGTAAAATAAATATATACTTATATTAAAAGGTATACCATTTACCAGATTTAGTATAAAGAAAAGTCAACAACATTTATTGCATTACTATTTCCGTATTATACAATCTATACTTATATAAAAGGAGATTCTATTTATTACATTTACTATCCAGAAAAGTCAATTGCATTAAATCCCATTACTATTGTGGTATTATAATATTTTATTTATTTAATTGATTCATTTATTTGTTTTCTTTTAAAAAGGTAAGTATAATAAAAAGATTTTAATAATAAAAAAAAATTAAATACCAAATAAAAATGTACACTTTGACTTATTTGATTATATTTGGTATTTGATTATACCAAATATATTCCCATTTAGTATATACATTAAATACTTACTAAAGTATTTATTTGTCAAAGTTAAGTATAGATTTGTTTATATTATCAAATCATAAAAAAATATTAAATCCATATTGTAAAAAAAAATCATATAATTTTATAACAATTCTACTACACTATTTAACAATATTTCTTTTTATTATATAATAAAATAATAATTAAATATTATATGGTGAACAACAATAAGTAAAACTGTTACTTTCTCTTATATCAAGGGATAAATTTATACGCTAAAATTAAATTTTTATTAGTATAAATGTTTTAGTGAGATAATATATTAATTATTTTACAAGCTAGCCTTAACATGCTCATATTTAATGTTTTAAAAGATGTAGAAAAAAAACTTATAATAACTCTATTGTTTTTTAGACTTAAACGCTGATTAAAAGAGGTAAAAATTCCTAATTTTTTAGATTTAAACGTTGATTAACACCATAGATTGAGAGTTTATATTTAGTAAAATTCCTAATTGTAATAAAAAAATTAATTTTTGCTATATTTTAGAATATCTTTAAATTCATTATAAAAAAAAAAAAAAAAACTACAATGAAAAAAGCAAGTCAGCTATATATCGATTTGTTGTACTCCTCAAATCATATTCACAATTTAGCTACAAGGAAAGGAAACTCATTGATTAAAATATTATTTTGTCAGTAGTCTTAATGTACAAGAGACTTTAAGACTCCACTTGAATATTATAAAACTTTTATTGAACATTGTACAATTTTCTTACGTATTATAAACTTTTATTGAATATTGCATCTTATCATATAATATTCTCCAAATAAATATATCTCGTGTTTTGCACGGGTCACGTACTATATATATCCCGTACATTTTTCTTTATTCATGTCTATATTTAGTAGTCCTCTCCAAAAAGAGTCCAAAATCAAATTGTCCTCTTACCATTCAAAGTCGGCCGAATTCGTGTGTGTTGCCAGGATAATCTAATTCATCTCTTGGCCCAATTATTTAATAGATCTTGAGCTAATATACTCGGTAAACTCTCCAAATTGGGCCTGAATTTAATGCTAATACGTGGGTCAAATTAACGGATATTGGACGTCTCGATAATTGATTATGCGAATTTCGTCCAATGTTTCGCGTACACAAAATACTCCAATGAGCTGAAAATAAATATAAAAATATCAATGTATATGAATCCATCCAAATAATAAATAAATCGAAAAATATAAATATGCGAATAAAATAAGTGTATAAAAATACACTATTAAATATATAAAACGTGCACATTTTTCTACCTATCACATTCACAATTTCCAATTCCTGCATTTTTCAATGGTGGATACATTTACTTTTTGCATGAATCAGATAGACATGTTTGAAGATTAATTCTGATAATAAACAGAGAAATGTGTATGAGGGCCTTAATTTGCATAAGTATTGTCATTACAAAGATTAATTATTTTCTGAAATGGTTTCAAACATAAGCTTGTGAGCACAATAGATTTGCATTTACACTAATTATGTCTTATATCCTTAACAAAGATTAAGCCAATTGATAATCAGATTGGTCATGGCATTTGGATTTGGTGCCTACAAAATATGTAATTAATCTTTACATTATCTTGAGATAAACATTGTTTCATGTTACATGATCCAAATCGTGTCATTACAAAGATTAGTTCTTTTATGCTTTTTGTATGTGAAATTACAGTTTATTTAATGAATTTAGTTTGTTTCAATCTTTGTTAACCATGTTCGATCTTTCTTAGCTGTTTGTATGAGAGATGTTTGTCACTCTCTTTTCCCAATTGATGTGAAGATAGTAATATTACATATTTGACACAAAATTATTATCTTTTTTCTATTCCATTTGTCAGATGTGATGTAGCTTAGACAACTTTGAATATGATGGAACACTTGTAATTCAAATTTCATTTTGTAGGTCAACAATGGCATGAAAGAAACCACAATTTTCATTGCAGTTCTGACGGTTGGGATGAAAATGAAGAGAACTTCCTCGTTCAACAACTTGAACATGTTGCTTATAATATCCCTGTAAGTTCCATTACAACGTTTGATACCTATTTGTGGCTTATCATTGGGCGTTTTATGACATTCTGGATTCATTTCAAGTGATTTCAGTACCCTCAAATTTGATCTATTCCAGATATTCTGGATTCATTTCAAGTGATATAGCGAATAAATTCTTGGTTATTGTAGTAGTTTATTAAGATAACATAATCTTATCAAGAGGAATCATTCTCATAATAACTGCAATAACAGTTATTTTCCTAACAATGGATATACATATGTAGTTTCATTAGACATTACTGCAGAATACAGATTCTTTGCTGAGGCCCATCAACGACAATTGAATAATAATGAGAAAAATTACCTCCTATACTAGACATTTTACTTTTTATTACACAATTAAACAGTTTCTGTAAATATTAGCAATATAGTTGAAAATCTTTTTTTTATTTGCAGATGTACTAGAAAAATTATTGTATCTGTTATTGACTAATTTAACATTAATTACCAAAATTTACGAGGAAATGTATTAGTTTCCAAAAACTGAATACCTATTTTGATGGTAAAAAATCTCTCTCTCATAACTCAGTAAACATCCATTAAGTCAATATATTTTTCTGTAACTGCAAACCTTGACCTTCAAGCAAAATAAACCATGGCAAAAAACTAAAATTAGACGAAGTCCTTACAGCGTCGTCGGAAATTCTCCTCACAGGAGATCGAGTTCGCGTCTCAGTATATGACATGTATATGTATATAAGTTAGGTATTAGTTCACAACATGTTATTTTGTCTCTTTCAACTATATGTTTTATGTCCAGTATATGCCTAAGTATATATTCATTAAAACAGAGATATGTTCCACAACAGTCTGGTTTTCGCCCTTTACAAAATGTATGTTTATGTCCAGTATATGATATGTTCGATATATATTATGTATAAGTTCACAACATGTTGTTTGTCCTTTCAACTTTATGTTTTATGTTCGATATATGCTAAGTATATATTAAATAAACAAAAATTACCTGTTTGATTTGGTATATTTTTCAGCGTTTGTTCATCAACATGGACTAATTCACGATCATATAGTTTGTATATATTTAGAAAATGACGTAGTTTGAAATTCAAATTTCTTATCTTTCTATTTTGTATTGGAACAACATCCTAATTTGTAGAATATATAACGTTACCATATAGAACTTCTTTTTTTTAATGTTAAATCGAAAATCTCATAACCTGCGCAATTTAAGGGAGGTGTTGCATTTGTTTTGGTAACTGATTCCTTGTATCTTTACAATTAAATGTCATGTAATTTATAAAGATGCAATTAAGATTTGCCCCATCGTACAATTACAATTCTTTTCAAATCATATGGCAAAAATGAAAATTCGCCAATAAATATATATATATATATATATATATATATATATATNAAAAAAAGAAAGAAAAAGAAACTCTACAACACACACACACCCCCGATCGGGCACACACCGGCTCCGCCCCATAGTGTCGTCGTTCGTCATGATCCCCTGCCGGATTCCTCGGCCGCGTCTATTCACTTAAATTTCGTGTTAGTGTACAGCCGCCGGAGAAGAACACCATCTCGCCACGCCGATCGACCGTCACGATTCGTCTCCGGCGACCTCCCATTTGTTTTACGTTCAGATATCGGCGTCGACGTCCGCCTCTCCAGGCCCACCGCAACCACCGCCGCGTCTTCCTTCATCGACCCGACCTCCGCAACCTCCACCGCTTGACAATGTCCGGCAACACGAGAGGAGCAATTTGCGAGAGGGGAAGAAGCCGGTTACAGAAATTAGGCTGAGAGGGACAGTTTTTTTTTTGTGAATTAGATAACTTCAAGGGACCTAGTTGTAAATTAAAAAGTTTTCACTATATTTCAATTAAGTCCAAGGGCTTAATTTGTAAGTTGTAGAAAATATATAAATACTACTATTTTATATATATAACAACATATTTTTATACATGTATATTATATTCTATCCAACCAAAAATAATAAAAAATAAATAAATAAAATTATTAAATATATTTTTATAATATAAATAATAAATTATTTCATTTATTTAGGCTAATGCGATAGTCAACCGAATAATCCAACCGTTTCGGTTCGGTTTTAGTTTGGTAAAAAAAATAAAAAACAAAACCCACACAGCAAAATGCACAATAATATAAAACATGATGCACATCAATAACTGTTAGTTAATATGAAATATGTTATAACAATATATTTAATATTTTTTATAAAAATAATCAAGTATAAATATTAAATATATTTCCCTAAAAAAATAGTTGCACTTCAAGTGCACATTAGTGTTATATGAATTGCACATTATTGACTGTCTCATTGCACTATGACGATCGAAACAGCTAGACGAAGTTTTGACTTCAAATTTTATATTTTTGGCTCGATTATAAGTTTTTACTTTTAAAACTCGTATCGATGACATATTTATTAATTAGAATAACCTAACAAACTAATTTATATAAAAATATTATTTTGTTATATATATATTTTAGGTATTCACAACCAAAAAATAATGTAAATATAAAATAAAAAAAATTAGTATACTAAATATACTTGTATAATATCAATTATAAAATATTTATATTATCGATATTATTTCGGTTAACCGATCGAATACACTAAGTATTTTTCGGTTTATTTCAATTTGGGATAATAAGCAAATGAGAAAAAATTGCAGTTTGAGTGCACATTAATGTTGGACACATTGCACATTAGTAACTGACGGATTGCACTTTACTTTGTTTCTAGGACACAACATTAAAAAACTTATGTGATATGAACGTTCGATAGTGTTAGACGAGTTGCACTTTAATGATTGTCATAATGCACTTTAGGGACCAAAACCAACCGAACTATACATTTCGATACGAAAATTTATAACCATCAATGCGCGATGACATTTTGGTAAAATTGGATAAATTTATGCACCGATAGAAACAACCAATGGACAATTCTAATATTTCGTGACTTATAATGAATTTTATTTTATATCGGTATATTAACGGATTTTTTTTAATATGTATGATCCAATGCGATAATGTGCAATTTATGTATAAATATTGTGCTTGAATGTTATTCTTTATTTTTTTTAAAAAAATTACAACTTTGCCACGCATGTCAATTTTATAAAATTATAGATTTGCCACAAATGTATAGTCTGCGTACAACTGACCCCCCAGACCCCAACCTGTTGGGAATATACTGGGTATGTTGTTGTTGTTGTTGTTGTATAGATTTGCCACAAATGTTAAAATGTAATATATTAACATTTGTGTATTGCAATCAAACCCCTAAATAATGTCAAATTCTCAAAAGTTAAACCCCAATACCAAACATATATTTTCCTGTCCGTCAATGTCCATGGAGACGTCGCCATCGACTGAGCACCGTCTGGTCGACTCTATCCCGCCATATAAAGCGCCCGGTCCGATCAATGTGCCCAGATGAAACATTCGTCGACGTTTCACGTTCAAGAAATGACGAGCCATATGCCCAGATCTTGTCGCCGTTCAAAGCCTGTTCATCGTCACCACATCATCATCATCCATGGCGTTTTCGCCCCGCCACTGCGACCATGGAGCTCCCAGAACAAGCGAAGAGACCACCGCTGGACAGTGGTTTCGAATAACCTGTCCGCCGGAACTCGAAATTTGAACACGGAGTCATCGCGGTGACGGAGACGGCCAATTTTGTGATGATTCCAACGGCAACGGAACAGTCGACAACTAGATTCATGGAGATTCCGGCGGCTACGGGAAGTGCGTGTGTGTGTGTGTGAATTGTGTGTGCGTGTGTGTGCTCATGTGTGGTCTCTGTGAACTGACGGGTTGCTGTGTGTGTCAGTCTCTACTGCTGCGTGACGGAGGAGCGGCGGTGACATGGAGGGGGCTGGAGGATGTTGACGGAGAGTAGGCGGTATTCTGGTGTGTGTTTGTGTGTGTAATAGAATTAAGGATGGTGGGATGGGTGGGACCCACTGGGTGAGTGGTCATTTATGTAATGCCCAATTTACCCTTAATTAGTGGTAAATGGTATAAATTTGACCATACAATATCTACTTATTTACGAGATTGCCACCCTATATTTGACCATATCTAATAAATTTTGACTTCATCATGACTATTGATATAATTTTTTTTTATCGGTAAATGTAAATTTATAAATCAAAATTGGAGTACAAACGACAGACAAACGGCATACAAAAGCGCAGTGGGCAGCCACAAGCTCGGCTCTTCGCTCGCGAATAATAAGTCTAAGAGGGGCAAGTCTATACTCCAAGGGCTTTCCTCTCATATTCGGCAAGCACGTTCGGATACAACGCAAAGATTGTACAATAAACATGAGTTTGGATCTTACGGGTTACTAGTCTTGGAGGTTGGGATTCGTTTTCAAAAATCAACCTATTTCTCGCATTCCAAATGAAGTACACGGTAGCCGCGAGCGCCGCTTTCTTCAACTTGATTTTCCAAGTAGCCCCTCGTGCCTCCTTCTTGATCCATTTAAGAGCTCCTTTGAGTGTCAAAGGCCTATGACGGAGGCTAACCCAATCACGAATCACCCCCCAAATTTTTGAGCTAAAGGAGCATTCGAAAAATAGATGACCCGATGATTCTACAACGTCTCCACAAAGAGAGCAAGTCGGGTCTTTATCAAGGAACTCTAACCGATCCTTTGTACGGAGACGATTGAGCACTCCCAACCAAAGAATGAAGGAGTGTTTGAGCGTATTGCAAGGGCCCCAAACCACACCCGTCCACAGCACCAATGCACCACAAGGCCTTAAAAAATCATAGCAACTTCTCAACCCCTCTTGCTTATCTCGTGAACTCCAACGATGAAGTAGAGCTTTCGTGGCTTACTCACTTCCCGCTTTGTCAACCATTGATATAATTGATCTAATGGTTCAGGTTCATTCTTATTTCTTTCACTATCTATCATTCTCATATGAACCCATTTATATATATAGTTTCCCTTTGACAAAATAAGGATATGTTTTCCAACTGAAAAACTGGATTATAGTTGATAAATTAATTGATAGCTGATAGTTTGTGACTGATGGCTTAAAAACTAGCTGATATAATGAAAGTGTTTGATAAAATTAACTACAAGTCATCTAGATTAAATTTACAACAAACTTTTTTGAAAAGCTATACAAACAAATGTATGAAATAAGCTCGACTATTTAAAAAAAATATTCCACCAAATAAAGTTTATTTAAAGATAAGAAGCTTTATTGTAAGTTTACTAAATAAAATATAAGCTAATTTATGGTATTTATTAAACATAATTTAAATTGTAACTAAATGGATCAAATAAACATTCATATATATTCTGAACAATTTTTTAGAAATATGGGGACAAACTAGTACAAAACGACCTAAAGGTCAGCCAATTTCATTTTTCTTGTCTAAATAAATAAAAAGTTTATTTGCATTAGTATTTTAACACCGAAAATCCCACAAGTCTCCGCGATTATGGATAAATTATGAAATTCAACTACTACACGGTTAATCACACATATGTTTTGTGCTAATATTAGGTAGGATTTTGCCATTTACTTTTAACAATATTTACTAAAAAAGTCATGATCGCCCCTGAAAACACAAAATAAATAAAACTCACAACCTTATTTAGAGTTGTTAAATAAAATGAGCTGTATATGAGCTCTTCTCAACTCGTTTAATAAACGAATTGAGCTCGAATTTGTTTAAAATTTGTTAGGCTTGATAAATAAAAATTTTTCACTTAATTTTTAAACTTTTATCATATGTCAACTTGTTAAGATTTGAATTTGTTTAACAGTTCAGCTCGATAAAAGTACAAACATAAATTCAAGTATTAGTTTGAACTCGGATCGACTTGACTATATTTCTATCTATATTGAGTTTGAATAAAAAGTATGCCATCCACAAAAGTAAAAATAGAAGGCATTTGAAGAAAATATCGTGCTCCGAAAATGAAAAAAAAAATAAAAAAAATAATGTAGAGAGTTCATTTTTCCACAGTAATATTTGTCCCGCATAAATTACTAAAAAGGAGAAAGAAGAAAAAAATCTTTATTAAACTTTTATTTGATGTGTCGTATAGATAATCCAACGGGGCAAGAATTTTGAAGTGGATAAAGCAAAGCAAAATACGTTGCTTTATTGACTTATGGTCGGAAATTGCCAAAGTAAAATGAGTTGTCATGGAATTTCATAAAACGAGGGGTGGACAAAATGTGGTGCATTACGTAATTTATGTCAAAATATTTCGAGTATTTTAATTTATTGAGCGAAAAAAGAAAAGATTTTTTTTTTTTTTATTATTGTGTCTTCACATCCACAATTAAAATATATATATATGTATATATTGAAAATGTCAAAATTGTCAAATTTTCCGGATTTCCTAATGGCATGCGTATTGTGACCAAATTAGCTTCTGAGATGGGCTGCTCGAGTCATACATGTCTTTTAAACCATGCAAACAATTAGATAACTTTATATTTTTTAGTTTCATATATAAAAATTTTAATTTAGAAAATAACATAAATAAACATATAGCATTTATCTTTAAAAAAATATAATGAATGAACCGTCTAACTGTTGGATTGACTCATGCAAGAGTTCATATTTGTCCTAATGCCATGTCAGGAAAGCAAAAGTCATTTTCCGAGTTAGGAATCAACGGCCTGCGTTGAATCAAGACTGTACATCGACGGTGATTGATCCATCCAGTACAAGAGACACATAAGACTGCAAAAAATAGAAACAAAAAAGAAAGAACAGAAAAAAAGGCTATGGAAAGACTTTAAAGCACGATGACCATATTATCATCTATTTTCTATTAGTTAATTAGTATGGGTTTGGTAGAGTATTTCTTATTGTAATATTTAAATACTTGTTCAGAACTCTAAAGATTATATCAAAAAATAATTAAGTTAATGAGATCTTTAGAAGAGATAAAGAAAGCATTGTTTGCAGCTAGGAATAATGAATGATTAACGAGCAATATTAATGCTGATTAGATGTATGATGCTATTCCACCCATATATATATATATGAAAAATGCTCACATGATGTTTATTAGCTGATTTACAAGTGGTGCACATTTGTTCCCGTAATTATTCCTTGTGTTTGGGTTTTATTTTAGTTTGGTAACTCCAATGCTATTATTGAATTTTTTATTATCGATAACAGGACGTAGGTAATGTGATGTTATACCATGAGCAGGGAGAAACCAACTATATCAACACACAATAACTTAATATACACGTGTATTTGGATGTGTAGATTTTGTTAAGAAGTTAAAAAAAATACTTTTTAAGTATTTGGTTATTGATAAATTTGATCATTATATGTTGGGGATCGATTAGAAACGTCGAAATTATGCAAGTCACGGATGTCTACGAAATAATCCTAAGCACATTAGAATTAGCGATTAGGGTTGAACGAGTACCGTTTAAAATTTTCATGGACTATGTACAAACATACACGGCCTACGGGGTCGGATGAACGGTTCCGAGACGATCTTTTCACCTCATCATCATCCACTCCTTCGGTTGTGCGTCTCACCATTGCTCGTCCAATCATGTTCGTCGTGTCACCCCTCGCCAGTGTGCTAGTCGTGTCTCGCATCGCCTTGGGCGTTGCATCACAGTTGTTGGACGGTTCGCTTCGCGTAGGAGTTGTTAGACTGTTGCCGGACGGCACCCGAGCTGCTGGAGGTCATTTTGTCTTGCTGCGGCTCTCTTGGTGCGTGGATGACTCTTTTGGTGTGCGCTGGTGCGCCTTAGTGTGTGTTGGGGCCGTGCGTGCTGCTTCGGGTGCTGGCAGATTGTTTGGTGAGTGTGGGGTTGCTGGTAGGTCGCTGCAGGTGCCTGGTGTCCGCAGGTGTCGTGCACTGCTGTTGCGTGTTGATTGAGACTTGTGCGCATGCTCGCCTACGGGCGTCGCCGAGCATGTCGAGTTGCTAGTCGTGCTTGTCGTGCGACGGCTGTGAGAAGGTCACTCGTCGTCCCGTACAACTAGCACACCCGCGCGTCTATGTCTTACGCCTGCGCGAGTCTGCGGCCAGTGCCCGTGCGCTACTGCGCCAGCGCCTGCACGCGACTGTGCCCAGCATGCGGCGGCAACACCAGACCAACGGCTTCGGCATGCGCCTACACATGGTTGTACCCAACCGACCTCTGCTGCCCGTCAACCTCGGTAATTCGCTCCTAGAAGTTGAACGGGTTGTCGCTGGTGGTGGGGTTGATCGCCGACGGCTATATACCGTCGTCGTTGGACAAATTTGTGGTGCATCGTCACCTCGTTTTACCTCGAATCTTCTTTTGTATTACCTTACATCAACTTCGTTCATTTTGGTGGGCGATGAAAATGATGTTTTCCCATTTGGATTCTCATACTCTCACAAATACATAAAGTCGTGTTAATAAATATATTTCTTATGAAAAATCAATTGGGGCGTGTATTCCTTTGAGAGTGCCGTCTGAAACATTCAAGGGAATTGATGCATTTATAGACTACATCATGTACCCTAAGGTGGGGCTAAATATGGATTTTCCCATGTATGGGCCTAACTGTTGTCCAAGCTCACTCTGCTCATACTTGAACAATATTTTGTCCACTAAAGAAATATTAGTGAACTCCCCATTTAGCCCTCAAATTTCATTTGAGGTTTCAATA